ATCACCTACTTTGTGCCTTATTTATGTTTGACACTGGGGCTAAATTAGAAAAGGAAAATAATAGTGTTCCCTGAATCGGGGTTAAATTTAAAGGAGAAAATTCTGGTTGCTAGGAGGAACTTGGATGGTAGCATAACAAGCATGGACACAAATGTGAATGCTATTACAATGGTCCAAGCAAGGAAGGAAGGTGTAGCAGAGTTGGTAGGTGAAGATGGAGGCTTCAGTAACTTTTTAAAAGTAGAATTGACTACGATTTTTAAGAAATTGCAAAAGGGAGGTGAGAGAGAGAAAGGAAGGTGCCTAGAAGGCTAAGTCCAGAGGGTAGGTTAGGTAATGCCTGAAGATCAACTTGTCAATAATAAATAAACTCCCAAGTTTCCGGTTTGAGCTTTTGTGTTGATCAATGGACCTGAGGAGGAGCAGGTTTGGCAAATAGAGCTTGTGAGTTCCTTTTGGATGCAGTCAGTCTACAACACCCAAAAGACAGTCAGATGGAGATGTCAAATGGGCAATTGATATACAAGGCTAATGTGCACGGTAAATATTTGAAAGTTGTCAGCAAATAGGTGGTGTTTGACCAAGGGAGAGAGAGTAGACTGTCCTATATGAGCTCACAAACTGACTTCTCTCATCATTTGGCACTAGCACGCATGAATAATGTCTACATCAATGATGCCAACCCCTAACAGCAGCATTCCTCAGAGGTTCACAGAGCATTCAGTTCTCTGTAGGCCTTGTTGGGCTGAAGCCAGGCTATCTTCTGCCCAGAAATGGAGCAAATTCTCCCTTCCCCACTCAGTGTCCTATTTGGTCATCCAAGCCATAGGGAAGGGTGTTGGGGCTCCAGTATGCAAAAGAATATTGAGTTCTTTTTATTCCCCACGAGCTCAGACATCAACATGGGAGCCAGACCCCTGTTCCCAGTGACCAAAAGAAAATAGCTGCAATCATATACCCTTATGAAAGTGTTCAGTACACCTACCCAAATTCATCTGAGGATCCATTTAGGCTTGGTCTTCCCAACCATCACCACTACCACTAAACATCATTTGAATAATACTGTTCAAACATGTTCATCATCGAATTTTCCCAACCTTTTGCACCTCTGTCTATTTAATAAACTTAATCTTCTACCTAGTTAGGAACTTGGCTTTGTGAAAAGCCTGCTATAATAGAGTTTAGGGATACAAAGGGTGAGAAACTTGTTCTCAGTTTGATAAACAGCCTGTCCACCCATTGATTGGCACATTGCAATAGGAACAACAACAACAGCTACCAAACCAACCCGGCCTCAGGTCAAACCTTCATGTATGTATGACACCAAGTGCAAGGGGAAAGACCATTAAGGAGAAACTTTCAACAACAACAAAAAAGCATCTTTCACACGGTCTCACTTATTTGTGGAATATAACGAACAAAATAAGCTGATGAACAAAACAGACCCAGAGACATAGAAGTAGGGATCAAACTGACAAACCTCAGAGGAGGGGGAGTGGGGGTGGGGAGAGATAAACCAAAGAACTTAACATGCATATATGCATAACCAATGGACATAGACAACAATACTATGAAGAAGGAGGGGGCGGGAGCGGGAAGGAGGGTGTCAATGAGGGAAAAAGGAGAAATATCTGTAACAAAAATAAATTAATTTTAAAAATATATAAAATAAAATGCAGAGGCAGGGGAAAAAAACAAAAAAAAATCTGTGGATAATGACCATGACTGGGATGTGTGGGAGCCCTCCAGGCCTAGTCAAGAAATGGGTAGCGGCAAGAACGGAGGTGCTCCATAGGCAATCAGCCTGCAGTGCAGGTCTTTCCTACATCAGCCTGTGCCAGGTACCAAGGTGGGCCTGAGGGGATAAAGAATAAGATACCACCCAGTGTCATGTGTATGTTTGTGAACATGTAACCAAATGGCTTACCGCATATCTTATTAGAAGCAGACAGTATACCTTAGAAAGGAGGGGCTATGCGTCACTCTTCCCAGCAGAACTGGAGAAAACTTTTCTGTGAGCCCACTGAATCTGAGTCTTGAAGGATGTGTAGGAGATCGCCAAGTGGGCAAGGTGAAAGTAAAGGAAGGAATTCTAGGCTAGAGGGAGGCGTATATCTGAATGCACAGAGGTAGAGAAGCAGATGGTATGTCTGATATCATATTATCCAAGGGTGTGAACCACAATGTTGCTAGATGAATTGGAAGAAGATTTTAAGTGGCATGCAGACACTACTCTAAATAACAATGAATTACTTGGAACTAAGAAAGTTGTCCATCTTTTCATTCCCTTCTATCCTTGCCCAGGAGAATTTCTCAGTTGGCTAGTAGGATGCTAATCCCTTAAAAGCGAATCTTCCTACTTAACAAAATGGAGCAGGTTTCAGGCTAAGAGGTTTCCCAGCTAACACTATCTAGTTAGAATTTAACATTAGGTTGCTTTTATTATGTTTATGCTTCTCTTCTATTTATGGCAAATGACAGTGGTTTTCCATTTATAGTAGTGATATGAAATTTTCTTTCTAAACAAATTTAAGTTTTAAAAGTGAGTGATTTAAATGCAAATATAGAAAATATTAAGGATTATATAATATATAGGGAGGTAAACCCTTATGGTAAGAATTATGACAGTGGTATGTGACTACTGAAGTGTTAGAAATATTCTCTACCAAAAAAAAAAAAAAGTTAGCAGTTTCTTGTGTTGCTATAACTGGCTTATTCAGAGATAAAGCATGGTAAAAATGGATCAAGTTTAAAGTCAGGCCAACAAGCCCGGCCAGTATAGCTCAGTAGTTGAGCATCAACCCATGCACCAAGAGGTCACCGGTTTGATTCCTGATCAGGGCACATGCCCAGGTTGTGGGCCAAATCCCCAGTGGGCTACATGCAGGAGGCGGCCAATTAGTGTTCTCTTTCATTGATGTTTCTCTCTCTCCCCCGTTTCCTCTCACTAAAATCAATAAAGAAAAAATATTTTTAAAAATATAAAAAAATAAAATAAAAGTCAGTTCCTCTTTTAAAAAGTCAGGCCAACAGGAGTTCAAATCTTCCTTCAGTACTTTCTAGCTGAGTGGCCTTGGGCAAGACTGCTTATGGTTTCTAATTCTCACATCCTTCATCTTTATAATGAGGATCCATCTTACAGGAATGTAAGGATTGGAGACAACCACTATACAGGTCCTAAAATTATAGACATTATTAACCTCCTTTATAACTTTCCAACAAGCTGTCCAAGGTTAGCCATGATTGGCTCTGACCTAATTTCTCTAATTTTGTGAGACATTATGTCTGAAGAGCTGTAATTGGTTTCAGAAAAGAATCATATATGTCATTTTTCTTTATTTCTCCATTAACTTATGCAGAAAGTTAAGAAATCAGCACAATATACATAGCTGTTTCTAGGTCACCTCAGATGGCTGTACACCCACCCAGTCCAAGTCAGAGGACCCATGTTAAATTCTAATGTTCTGAATGCATGTTGCAACATTTAAAAAATAAACTTTAAAAGATAAACTGTACAAGCACTATAGCCACATCTCCAAAAATTTGTAACACTGAGAAAAGGGGGGAAATCACTTACTCCACAGTCCACAGTTGAAGCCCCATTTTTTCAGCCACCTTCCTCTCCCCCTCTCCCCCCATAATGAGTCCTGAAGAAGCCTGGATGTGGACTTATTGAGTGTGGCAGACAACTCAAAGCACCACTGCCTGGGTCTCTGGCTTTCCACTTCAAAGGCAAGGACGTGCTGAGACTTGGAAACCAAGAGATTTCCTTATAATCATGACACCTTGCCTAAGTAAGAGATAAATTGGCTACTAAGCGTAGCCACACCCCACCTTAGTGAGCACAGTCTGAATTTCCAGCTCATGTAAAATTATTAAAGCACAGCATAAAAGCAGTTTCTTCTTGAACAGTAGTAATGATTTTCATTTTCCAAATTATGCATCTACATTTTGGGGAAACCTGTCATTAGAGGATTTTCTGTCTGCTGACTTTTGCTCTCACTTCCTGGAAGGGTTTTAATAAGTAGGTCACCTCATTCAAATACAGGACACTGCTAATATCTCCCATGCAGTTTTGCAGTTCTAGTGACAAGCATGATGCCCAGGCAATTTATGACTCTGCTCTTCAGTGTGGCTCTACATTTGTCCTTTACCATTGCCACACTTCTTTCTAAATGGACCGCCAGCTTTAATGGATCTGCGATTTCTTTTAACAAATTTGTATAATTCAGAAAAGCAGTATTTAGAAATGCCCTTTTCATCATTCTAAGTGATAGAATGATATAAATCTTGAAACAATAAAATAAATGCATGATTTTTCAATGCATGATTTTAAACAAGAGGTGAGCAGATATCTTAACATTTTAAAAAAATATTTATACTCCCATATGCTAGAGCCTACTACTAGAAATCCTAACTTTTGATTGGTTAAAAAAGACTGAAACCTGCAGTGCTCTATCCCCGACCCTCCACTAAAAATAATGACTAATTACTTTTGCATGACCTTCTTAGATCATTAGTGATCTACTTAATGATATCATAATTACAGTCTACAAGATGTTTTTGTTTTGCCAATCCAGGTGATATTAACATAGCCATAAATACGTACAAGAAGACATTATATTTCTAGGGCCTGATAACTTCTCTTTGTGGAGATAATAACAATTTTTAAATTTGCATTTGAGGCCCTAGAAAATTATCAAGGAATCCACAATTTAACTCTGATAGAGTAGTTAAGTCTAGCTATGCAGAAGAAAGAAAAGCATGTGGTTTTATTACAGAACTTGAACTTAATCTAATGATCCAAATGTTCCAAGTTCAAATAAATCCTCATGAGCTTGCTTGCTCCTCTGTTTGCCAAGTCTGAACAGCCCCAAGCAGAAGCTGATCTGTGCCTATAAACAGGTAAACTAGCAGAAACTAAATTCGAAAGTGATGTAAATGCAACACCCAAGAGCAAACATCCGTTAACCTTAAAAATAATACAAACAAAAGGATACCTGTTCTTCTGCTCTCTGGTTTCTCAGCATCGATACATATTTTCTAATTGCATGGAGAGGATATTTTTTGAAATAAGAGAATCTAGACTGAGGCAACAGATTATCCATGATGAGGAAAACAAGAAGGTCCTTGTCTGCCCCTCCCTGTCAGCAACCATATGAAATCTAGCTTCACAATTCCTCAGATGCCTGAAGATTTGCTTGTAGCTCAACCACTTTCTTGCAAACAAAGCAGATGTTCTTCTTGCCCCTTCTTCTTTTGGGTAGAGTTCCTGGTGAAACCAGACAGCCAAATGTGAACTCTGTCTAAAAGCGTTCAGAAATGCAATGCCCAAAGGGCGTAGGAGCCAGGAGGAATTTAGGGGCTGGTCCACAGAATGCAAATTGCTTAGTGGTAGTGATGCAACTGTCCTATTTCTAGCAACAGCATTCTGTTGCAAGCTATGTTAATATTAGCTAGCTGGTGACTTTCCACACCCACGGACTCACATGAGGTTTAATCTTAATCCTTCTGACAGCTTTTCCAGCTCTTAAAGAGAACGTGACATGTGGTTTTTCCTGTTTCCTTCTAGATTTCATATCATCTTGAGCACATACGCACGCGCACGCACGCACACACACACACATACGTGGACACCCTCGGCTGCATCTCAGCTCTAAAGTGTTGATTCATTCACTCTTGAGAAGCTTTTTTTAGGGAATTTTTAAAGAAATTAACAAATTACCTCACCCTTCATTGTTATCAAGGAGTTCAATGTCAGCACGTTTGGTTTACACTATCATGCATTATGCAACATACCCAGTAACCAGATACTTTATGTTAATTGAACAATAACTGCAAACAGATTCTGTTCTGAGTTAAAAGGCTTCTCTCCTTGAATCCTTATCTCAAATCCACAGGCTGATTCCAGGAACATTACATTTCCCCAGGCTTTATTCTGAATGTAGGCAGAGAAAAAAAAAAAAATGTCATACATTTACTTTCGAACTGTTTTTAAAAGGACTCATGCTTTAAAAAGAGAACATGATAAGAGGTCTGTGGCCCTAGAGGACATGGAATCATAAAATTTGAAAGTGCAATGTTTTTTTAATACTCTGTAGATGTCACAGGGTTTCTGAACAAAGTCCCCACATAGGCTTTGCTGTTTTATTATCATTTTTAACTTTGCAGAGCTGGTTCATTTGATGGAAACACTTGGCCACTTCTGTGAGGGACTGTCATGTAGAGTCTAGGCTGAACATCAAATGAAAATCATGAGACACAGAGATTTGCTTTTAAGTGGAAAGACGGAGCTGGTCTTTTCCCCCTTCAGAGGGAGCACTGCAGGCTGGAGTGAAGCGGGTAGGCAGAGCTGGGAACCCATGTTGCAGGGGAGCCGTGCCCCTGGATACCCTCCCTGACACTCCTGGCTGGGCCAGCTGCCTTCAGGGAACACACGCTTGATGGGCCTAATGTGGGCTGTGTGGCCAGCAGCCCAGGCCATCTGTCAGGCTGGCATCCGGCCCACTTGCAAGGTGATCTTCCAGTCTCACCAAGGGCCAGGCTGGCAATTCCAGGAAGTCATTTACATACTTCTGCTGGGACAGGCTCCTTGGAGGAGGAGGCCCTGCCCTCCTGTCCCCTCTCCAGGTACTCTGCTACCTGTTTACAGAGGCCCTTGCAACCCTCTGTATGCCAGACACAGCAGACTCCAGCAAGGGCCAGAGAGAAGCCCTGGCTTGTGAGTCACCCGAATGCTAAGGGCACAGTGTTATATACTCCCTGCCAGCTCACAGCGCAGAAAAACAAGGAGCTTGGAAATCTGGGCACTCTGGCCAGCTGGAGACCTTGGAAAGTGGTGTGGCCCTCAGGGTATTGGGAGTAGGCAAAGGTGTCATTTGTACACATCCTCGAGGGATCCACCAGCTGCCCTTTTGCTTCACTTTTTAAAAATATCAAGACCTTCTGAGATGCCTCTCAGGAGAGGCAGGAGCTGGCAGCCTGCCAAATACATACACAGTCCGGCTGGTGATCAAAGCCTTTTCCCAAAGGACAAACACAAAGCAGACTTCATTTCAAGCAGTTGTCTCATGATCAAATGGTTGACTCATGATCGCCCTTTCCTGGGTTGAGGAATGTGATGAAGAGACATGGGGAGGAGACAAAAAAACAACAACAACAACCCAAAAACAAAACAAAAACCCAAACCAAAAACACTGTCCTGACTAAGATGGAACACAAGAAAAATTGGTGAAACAAATGCAACTAAAATTCTCTTAGGTGTTTAATGGATAACAAATAGAATCATATCTAATGTTTACTGGGCTCTGGGACAGACACTGTGCTAAATTCTTTTCATGTATTCGCTTATGTACTCCTACGGCACCCTACGGGGAAACTCAGGCTCAGAGAGGGTAAATCACTTGTCACAGTCACACAGCAAAGCAGCAGAGAAGGGATTCCAACCAGATTTAGGCTGATCCAAGTCTCAGTTCCCAGTCTCTTTTCCCACAGCCAGACATAGATTCCTGAGCAAGTCTCAATAGATTAACCTGAAGAAGGAAAGGCAAGGAGTTGCCTTATTAAAGAGAAATGCAAACCTAGACTGCTAGGAATTTACAAACTAAGATTATTGATTAAGAGCAGGTGCATCTTCATGAAAAAAATCATACAACTTCCTGTTCTGGGTTCTTTGTAAATAAGGCTAATGCTCATTACTTACCTCCTAAAGGTTCCTTTATGGAATGAGTCTAGTGATCTTGAAAAGGGTTGTATTTGTAAATAAAGGTTTTCTATTTCCCAGACTTTGAAAACTACTGTCATCTCAGTTTCGGTTTGACATGGGTTCCAATGATTTATTTCTCTCAAGAGTTAATACAAATATGAGGTGAGTATTACACACTGTGTTTCTCAGGTGAGAGCATAGGTTTTTGTGTTCACAGTATGGGCATTTCTGCCTGGAAGAGTGCTGCTTTGACTCAGTTGCCTTGGTGGAAGGCAGATGACCAGACTGCTGGTGGCTACAATGGACATCTGCAAGGACCAACAGAGCCTAAAGTATCTGCCTCCAGTGATAAGAGGTATATTCTGTGCCCTACAAAGTAACACAATAAAGAGTAGAAGTGATTACCTATTATTTGTACAGCTCACTCCCATCTTTTGTCCTCTATTCGGTAGAAAAATAAGAACAGAAACCACAAGCCCAGCAAAGCCACAGATCAAAGCTGCAATCCCACAGTAAAAGGATATTTGCGTGTTCTCTTTGATTTCTAAAAATTACCTCCTCTCTCACAAGCAGCTTAAAATATGAGGAATCCCAATTTCTTCACTTGAAAAACAACAGAAAAGAGGCCAAGCCAATGCCAGAAAAAAATAGTGACAAAGGAGTGAAAGGAGAGATATCTTCTAGCCTACTCCTTTTCTAATGTTGGAGAAGATGGGATGAAAATGTGTATTTGTGAAGCTATTTAGCACTGTGCACTGCACACAGTAGAATTTCATTATGCATGCCAAAACATGCTTATTAAAGGAGAATGGCAAAGAGATAAAAATAGGACTCAAGTGTGTAAATTCAGGATGAGCAACCAGGAAAGGAAAACAGAAAATGTGTCTCCAGGATACCTTGGAGTTGACGGGGTTTCTAAATTGCACCAGGACAAAACTAAAACCCCACTAATCCCCCATATTTTCTCCTTCCAATCAGCGCTCAGAGTTTCCATCAGGAAAATGATTCCATTCTCTGGGAATTAATCTAGCCAAGCTATAAAGTGAAGGGCAGGCAGTTAGAATGATGGAGAAGCAGCTAGCCAGGAAAACAAAAACCATTTTTTATTATGAATTCCACTGAGAAATCACTCTTATCCCACCAGGTCTGTGGATATTGGCCCAGTCTCTTGCTCCCCCAAGCACAGTTTTAAATGAAATCAGGAGAGAGGAAAGGAAGGCATTTACCATTGCTCATCAGGACAAGTTTACACAGCACCAACATTGCACATTTTTACATGATTAAAGCACTTGTACTACTTCATAAGACAACATTTTCTTGGTGCCCCCACCATGTAGGTAGCAATTATTTCACATCTGCATATGGTGCAATTTTTCTTTCCCAAAATCCATGTTCAAAGTCCCCATATGTTCCCATTACAGCCACACTTCAATAACTTTGATGTTTCAAATTGCTCGGAGCTATACGCCTCTTAAGCCTTCTGCTCTCCGGTTTCAAGCATTGATTTCTCACATTTAACCGTAACTCTGAACCCATAGGACATGTGTCCTCCACTTAGGAAAAAACATTTTTTCTGCATTCAAAACAAAACAAAACAAAACAAAACAAAACATTTTTCTGCATCGTTTAGGCCAAACTTGAACATACATCAGAATCACCTGGAAGGCTTGTTAAAGCACAGCTCGCTGGCCCTACCCTCTGAGTTTCTGAGTCAGAAGGTCTGGGGTAAGGAACGAGGCTTCGCTTATGCAACAACTTCCTTGGTGATGCTGATGCTGCAGGTCTGGGGACCTCACTCCATGGACCATCAGTTTGGGCGTTGTCAGGTAGGGCCAGGGCTATGGAGGGATTTCTCAGGTGGCATTTGGGGGGAAGAGGCCCTGTTTGCTGGAGCACTTGGAGAAGTCCACCAACCCCCGTTTAAAGCGTTCTTCTCCAGTCGTTCTGGTTCTCCCTGTCCATCTGTTTTCTTGCCGCCACTCTTCCACGAGGGATACCCTGCAGCTAACAAGCTTCAGTGGGCCTCCCACCAAGTTCTCTCCCAGTGATATCTGGATGTGGTATCAGACTGCTCTCAAACTCCCTCTCACTCAGTGCCTCCTATCAAGTTGCAGGCACTGTCAGGATTCTTACTTCAAAGGGAGAGCGACCCTTTCCTTAAACCCAAGGCCAGAAACCACAGCCAGTTTCACCGAATAATCTCTCCCTCCCTCTTCTGCCTCTAGCTCCTTGTTCCTTTCTGGATGCGGAAGGAAGAATCTCAAACCTGGACAGGGAGGCCCCTCAGAGAACACCAAGAATCCCCCAAATCACAGCCTTCTACAAACTTGTCCCCACACATAATCTACTCGTCTCTGCCTTCGATACGACTGTGGTCTGGGTTGGATCCTCCACCAACTCTGTCTCCGTCCTCCAGTCTTGCCTTTTCACTCAGGATTTAACTGCAAACTCTTCCTTGAATGGAAACATAACATGCCCCCAGCAAACTTACTGTTTCTGATGGACTTGGGGGCGGATGTATGGAGCCGAGTTGCCTTCTCCTCAGGACTGGATTTCCCTTCTCCTTCCCCTCAGCAATCATGTTTCTCTCGTTCTGAGAAAATGGTAACACCAGTCCAGAAGAAGGAAGAGGTGCTTTTTTTTAAGGAGGGGAGAGCATTGTTTCAACCTCAAGGGAACCTGCAAATTGGTGGTCGTGCTGCCTATAATTCTGTATGAGAACC